GGGTTCGATCCCGGGCCGCCACGTTGGGAAGCCAGCGACTAACCGCTTGAGCTATGGCTCGGCCTTTAAGGTGAGTGATGCTGTCACTGTGGAGCTACGTGTTCTTACGTTATGTTTATCGGGAAACTACTTCCACGTCCAACACATCTTCCAACACTTCTTAGTTACAAGAATATGTACAGTAGGTTTATACACGTGATTTCTGTTGTGCTCAGAGAAAGGATGACACCTCTACCTAAAGCAAAGGCTGAGAGTCACTTACCAGTAAGATCGAGGTGCTGGAGGTTGGAGCATCGAGTTGCGAGGTCGAAGAGTGTCGGATTGGTCACAGTATTGCACCCATGAAGTTGTAGATGGGTGAGTTCTGGGCATCGCCTAGCCAAGAGAGTCAATCCCCTGTCAGTGAGCCGAGCCCCGTCACTCAGAAACACACGCTCTACGTTAGGACATGCGCCGGTCCGTCCCTGTCCACAGAGTCGCCTGAGAACGCCCCGGATCGCCCTGTCCCCACACACAGCCTCTCCGCTCAATGTGATTGTTCTCCACAATCGCGGGTCCCAAGCGAGGTGATCCCACCGTCTACACACTCTTGCGCAAACACACAGCTCACTACTGTCCAGCCACGAGAAGATCTTGATCACGGCCTCATCCGGCAGACGATCAAACGGAGAATTCTTCGAATGAAAGCGTTTGCCTTTCAACATTGCGCCAGTGTTGGGAGGTTCAGCTGCTGCTGAGGGAAGCGGTACAAGCGGGGGGTGAGGTTCAGTCCAAGGGCCAGGAGTAGATGGTCCAGGGCTCGGAGATACCAGAGTGTGGTAACCTTGGTCCAGAGACGGCGAAGAACGTCCAAGTTTGTGGTGAGAATTGTAAGTTTGATCTGTAGGTTGATGGTAACACTGAAGATGGTCCAGTGTTGGAGAAGACGCTCTCCTCAGTGCGGGGGAACTGCGGAGTTGGAAGCCACAGTCTAACGGAGGCGAGGTTCGCCCAAGAACGTGGTAACCTTGTTCGATTTGCTTATAGCCGGTCTGGTCCAACTGGGCAGGGGAGGCCCTGGCCGTGGTGCGATGGTAGGCTGATGGGTCGAGATGGTAGCTAACTGCTGATGTTTCCAGTGGCTGAGGAGACTTTTGGGATCCACGGGTCAGATGGTAAGCAACCTTTGAGTCGATGGACGGAGACGCTCGACCCAACTTTGCCAAGGGACATACCATGGGTGAGAGGCGCCCCAGCAGCGCGGCGGCGGAGCGGGACGACGGTGGCACGGGTACATGTTGCGCCATGACGGCGCTTAGCGCTGCTGTCTTTGTTCCTCCTGATCTGTCCTTCCTCGTGTGTCGCTACTCCTGCTGTCGCTGCTGGAACATGAAGATGTGCAATTTAGAATCATGCGCAGACTTCCGCAGTTGTTGCAGGAGTTCTCATTCCATCCTGACGTAACATGAACATATCAGTGGGTGTCTTGTGTTAGGGAACTTAAAACGTTTGAAAGCATAGACCTAGTGTTTTACTTCATTCTTAAGATCACATTCTTCTGGGATATGACGCCGCTTACTTTGGTACATACATCCTTCTGAAACGTTACCAGGCCGTAGTATCGTATGCTCTATGGATTTTAAGAAACTGTATTTTATGAATCAATCATTTATTATTATAACAAATTATCTCAATCTTGTGTATCCCCTTCGTGGGTCATGAAGCAGCCTCCCTACGAGTGACATCTCTTTGCAATGACTGGTCAAATTTTCGCTTATAATTTTATGTATAAAGAGCCATGTCTGCATACCTCTGACATATATGTAGGAAAGCCTGGCAAGATATGAGAGACTAAGTTCTTGTCGCATTAGAACAAACTTGATTGGTCCGATATTTGGACTTGGCAGGAAATGACAGGACAGTGGAGGATATTACTAAGTAATTTTTTAGTGTTTGACTTGCACATTTTTGGCGATCAGATCAAGAAGATATGATGAATGGGATGTGTAGCATTGACTGGGAGATCAGATACATTTCACGGAGCAAAGTTTTGGTAATTAATACTAGCTCAGTTAGTCAATTTTTTTTGTGGTTTATTCTATGACACTATCAGCACCAAAATTATACGTCGTCGAATTATAAGATGACTGATGAAGAACTGGAAAGAATATGGAAGGAGACGCTATCCCATCACATTTTGGAGGGATTGAGGAAAACTTGGTTTGAAACTGTTCTATGGAAGCGACTGTGTGCATGCAAGAGAGTATAAGATTTTCAAAATATGTTAAAAGTAGTCTCAACGCGAATGTCGACGTGAGATGTCCAGCCACTAAGAAATATTAAGGGCTCACGAATTCTGAGACATACGTTCATAACGTGCAAGGGAGTCCATGAGATATTATAAGAAGAGCGGAATCACTAACTCTGAAATTCTGAAACACGCACTAAGATGGCACTCCAGGACAATCCGAGAAGAAGTACGGTAACATCATAAGAGGACAGGCAAAGTACTGACTCGCGGATTCTGAATGCTGTATTCAGTTAGTGCTCAAAGGAGAATAAAATTACTGACTCACGGATTGTGAAACACGAATTTATATATTACTTCAGAGGAACCCCCAAAATATGATAAATACGGAATCATAAGAAAAAAAAGAGCAGAAATTACAGGAAGAAGAACAGGACCGAAAACAAATGAACATGGAGTTCGATATCAAACCCGACACAAGAATATGGCCGCTGTCGTATCTGACGTTACTGATCCAAGGAGTGACTTAATACGCTGGTATGCGTACCAAAATTTTGAGGCAGTCTGTCGGAGGTAATCACTTCTCACGCAGGAACAGGAGTTGCCTTAAGCGTAACCTGCAACTACGTCATTACGCACTATATACTGTGCGTAACACAGCGGCGACCCCTTCAGGATGATGCATAGCTAACCTATATTCCGCAACTTTATGTTCGTTCAACCTACTAATAAATGTGAAGCAAAAGTTACGAAATATTTCACACGGAGACTTCTATATTTGATTTTCAAGATAGTGACCTATAAAACTGAGACTTGATACATGTTTCACTGAAAACTGTCATTTCGGACTTGCTCCGTTCTTTCATGTGACATTGCCTTAAGGAAATAATGTAAAAGAATTAAGTTTCGTTTTTATCGTTACGTGTTATGTAGTTGTCGTCTTGTAATCTGTAAGCAGAAGTAATTTTCGTTCTTACAATTTTAATACCAGGGACCTACTCCGAAGGCGGTCTGACACGCAGTTTCATGTTCAAAGAAATGGGCATGAATCACGACATGAGACCGATAGCGTTGTCATTATTCAATGACAACTCTCTACTTTTAAATGTGGAATTAAACCACTAACAGCTCACGAAATGAACGTATTTAAATGGGCTGACTTTTCAGCCTCAAACAGAGAGATCGGAATAGAAAAGGTTGCAAGTATCTATAGCATCCTCAGAGTGATTGGAAAGTGCAAATGTTGCAAGTGTCTACATCCGCCTCAAACTGAGTGATTGGAAATTCCAAGTGTTGCAAGTGTCTACATCCGCCTCAAACTGAGTGATTGGAAATTGCAAATGTTGCAAGTCTCTGCGAGTATATCCGTCTAAAACAGATCAGAAATTACACAAACTATTAAGTCCCTACATTTTCAATGTTTGCAAATTTTTTGATAAAAGACTTTTACAAATTTCCTTTGATGTATCTTCGTAAAAGTAATGTTGTATTATTGAAATGAAATCATCCATCACAGACACCGTGAATCACCGAGGAAGCTGGCACAAACGGTAAAGAATTGCACTGGGGAGGTGCCCAGTTCGAATCTCTGCCGGATTACCGACTATCCTGTCTGAGGTTTTAATGGATTTCCTCAGTCCCTTCAGGAAAATGTCGTGTCTTATTAGGCCACGACCGCTTCCTTCCACATCCGTTCCAATTCGGTATTAACTATAATTCGAGCATTCGACGTTACACAGACTGGTTTACTGGCAGCTTCATGTGACGTTCTGGAGGAAGAAATCACCTCCATCTTCATGGTTGAAATGTAAGCCAAGCAAGGGTGCAGCATGGAGCGGCAACAAGCACAGCTTGGCCTACTCCTCAACACTCTAGATAAAGGCGACATGTTCCTCCGAAACGTCTATTCACTTTCAACGGTCTACATTAAATTATATCCTAGAAGACATAATTATACCGTATATAGAAAGCTCACATAAGTGTCGTCATGCGAAATGAAACATGATATTGTTCCCCATTTTCATTACAGCTTCTTTCGGCACGATTCTCAAACGTTAAGTGTGGATAAGTATAAAGTGTATCGAAATTTGACAGACAGCCATGACAACTGGCCCACGGATGCAAACAAAGACAATCCTGGTTCGATAATGCTGTAACTTCATAACAATAAAATTATAGGTCAAAGTTTCCTGAACAAAGATTTAAAATTCAACAGCATAAATGATTATATATTATAATTAATGTTTCTGCCACTAGATGTCACATATGCATTAGCATATAACATGCCAGGTCTCGCTAAATAGCGCTTTTCAAATGAGTCTTACAACACAGACGAAGGAAGGACAGACCTATACGTAGCATATGAATGAACTCCATGAGTAAAGGTAGAAAGGTAAAGTTGTCCCTGTGCTTAACTAATTAAGCACTACGCCATGAAGACGTATGGGGTAGTGGATGTATAAATCCACATTTTCTTGACCTCGACACTAGTTGGGGGTGAATGGTCAGCATCACGCCCCGGCCGTTTTATTCCCGGGGAAAGAGCTCCCGGTACCCATTGGATAGGAGGTTGGGTGGACCGCAGAGCCGGTATGGACGACATGGAGAAGTGAAAATTTTTTACCCCACCGGGACTCGAACTCTGATCCCTCGGTCGTCCAGCCAGTAGCCAGTCGTTATTTTTTTAATTCGCTTAGTGAGGGGTGGAGCCCAACTGGGTCCACTCGGCACGGCGGCCACTGATTGGCCTATTGTACCCTGCCCCGGGTGGTTATGATGATGGAGAATTTGGTGGAATGAAGATTGGCAGGGGAAACCGAAGTACTCGGAGAAAATCCGCCCCAGCGCCACTTTGTCCACCACAAATCCTACTTGACCAGACCCGAGAAGTGGCTATACTTTCTTTTATGGCGAGTGGGGTGGGAGTAAGTCCCTTGTATTGCGGCCACTTCTGGCTTATTGTACCTGCCCCAGATGATAGACGAGTAGTCGCTATACGAGTACTTACTGCGCTATCCTGGCTCAACCCACGAGTTTGTTTCAAAATATAGAAATCCTTCTTCAACAGAGGATCTCAAGCATCCGCGATTTTCCTCTTTCATCAAGTTTCTTAACCGCGGCATTTGGTTCTATGTATCAGTGATTTTAATTTTGTACACAAGAGAGCAGTGAGTTACTACGCAGCAAGAGATGGACATTTGTTGAGGTCAGACTAGTATGGGCATCCGGAAACCAGTTTTCTAGCTTCCAGGTTATCACTGAGTCGTTCTATCGTAATTTTTATAATTTTGTTATGTCTTATATTACGTATTTAATTTTATGTGTTCTTAATTGTTTTCAATGTGTCCTACTCCGCCTGTTTTTTCAATATAATTTTGTTGGAGGAACACTCAATTGGAAAGTGTTTGCGTGTGTTGTTTAATGTTGTGTCATTTTCCTTTACTCTTGGTTGTTTCATTTGTTGTTTCTTGTTTCTGCAATATAATTTAATTGGCCGAATACTCAACTGAAGCGCCCTTCCGTTTATTTATTTATTTTTTTATTTGGTATTGTGTTATTTCTTTTCCTTTTTTCCTCTTGTTCCGTTTGTTGTGTTTAGTGAAGGAACAAACTATTTAGTTAAGCTCACATGAGCCTCAAGAGCTGCCGCAGTTCCCTAATATCCAGTTTCTTATAAACCTTTAATATTATCAACCTCAGTTTTGTTAATTATTTCCTTTAAAAAACCTCCCCCTTCCCGATTAGGGAGAATTTTTAGGCATTAAATTCGTTCATTCATTTAGAAAAATGTAAAGCTATCCCTGTAATAGGCCGTGAAGGTCAATAGGGTTGTGAGACTTCGAGGCTCCCACATTTTTCTAGACAATCGGCTCACAGTTGGCGGTGAGGTTGTCAGCCTTACGGGCCGGCAGGCAGCCCTTTACTCCCCCCAGGATGATTCCAGGTACTCATTTCTGTTAGAGACTGAGTCGACCCCAGGGCCATAGTGCAGCTGGAAAGGCTAGGCAAATTAAAAAATCCAATGACATCATCGGGATTCGAACCCGCGACCTCCTTCCGACTTGTAGCATAGTACCTCAACCAACTACGCTACCGGGTGCCTCCTCATTATTTTTTATATTTTGAAAAATTTAC